GGGATTATCAGATCAGCCATGATCTTATTGTATCACGGAGCAGATTTGATGGGCTGAATGACCTACTTCTGCCCTTATGGTCTTAGAGTAAGATTCCGCAAACAATGAATGACCTATTCCTGAGACTGTCGCCAATGGTCTTGGTATTTGAAGGATATTGACAAGCGCATCAGATAAACTGCCACTTTCCTCTCAGTAATGATTCCTAGAGAAAAAAATCAGCCTAAGAAAAAAAATTCACAGAACTAACCAAAAATGTACTAACGCTGAATGCGGTAATGTATCTAGCTCTGATAATTTGCCTGTCATCATTCTGTTTCGTGCTGTAATAAGGTAGTGCTAAAAGTCAGTTTTACATTGCCAGTCACTCTCTGTAAACATTATGCTTACCTCGCACAGAACAGAGGGACTTGCATTTCGCCCCTCTCTTGACCTCAGGACCTCCAGAAGCACTTTGCAACCAATAAAGTGGTTTGGAAATGTAGTCAGACTGTAAAACGTGACATCCAAATTGCGCATCAGATAATCTATACTTTTTTCCACAATGTCCATGGAGTGATAAATTTTGCTGAGGACCCTGGGAACAGCTCCTTGGTTTTTCTTCAAAACAGCGCCCGCGTGGTTAGTGGCAGTCACCTGAGATGACAGTCCGTTCTACCCCCTATTTGAGAAGCGGCATCTCAAATTTAAGTGCGGTGCCTCCCCAGCAGCACACCGCAGTGTCACCCTTGATTTTGTGTTCAGGTTTCTGGAGCGGGATTTGAACACGCAGGACCTGGTGGAACTCATAGATGAGTACTCAAGCCTGGACGTGTGGTGGTTTGTGTTGGGAAGCAGGGGAAAATCCCTTGGAAAATATTATCCTGAACTTGCTCAGCAAACGATGAATCAGAGCAGTGCAGGAGCTGCTTGATAAGTCTTCAATATCTGGCACTGGATTTGACATTGAAACAAATATTATTGATGTAAGGTAATGTTTTTAAAGTAAAGGACTTCAAACGTCGAACCGATAAATTGTTTGAAGGGATATAAAATGAAGGATTATTTCCATGGGCTCGGTGATCAGCAACAAACGACATAAATCTGGGATCAGTGCGAGAAAACAAACGGGAGAGGTTAAACTTTAAGCTTTTATTAATATTTTTTTAAAAAGTCTATTAGAATGTGGATTCCATTACTTCAAGTGTTTATTGAATTTAAGTCAACCACAGGGTTTCACAGCATTAAGGCACAAAGCAGTGAAACAGATGAGGAGCAATAGAAGGGAGATGGTGTAGAGGGCTTTGGCTTTGAACTAATAGCGGCTCTGACATAAATGGAGGAGTTTGGGAAAGAGGATTGGATGGGACACTTTGTAATTTACCTGCCCCCATCGATAGTGGAAGAGGGAACTGATTAAGAATTAAGATTAACTTTTCTCCAGTCAGATTGAGAGCAGCATAGGAGAGGCCATTGGATCAGATTGGGGCAGGTTGTTAGAGGGAAGACGAGAGGTTTGGGGGAAATGTGTATGAGGAAGTGGGGGCGGTGGGAGTATGAGGATAGGTTAGGATGTGTGACCGGAAACTGAGAGGGACGGGCATCTGGTCAGTGATGTCAGGTTCACTAGGAGGTCAGACCCCTCCTTGGGGAGTTTTGGTGGAGACAGGAAGTGTCTTTGAGTCCTTGGAGACGAGTCCAAATGAAGGGTTTCGGCCCAAAACATTGACATTCCCGCTCCTCTGTTGCTGTCTGACCTGCTGTGCATTTCCAACCTCACACGTATAGACACAGGGTTCTTCGGTTTTGTCCAGGCAAGCAGATAAATGGAATGACATCCATGCCCTGATCTGCAGTCCCTTGTCTTGGTTTAGTTGGTACTCTGATGAGGAAAGAGATTCAATATAAGTCAAGGTTGGCCCACTGGGAGCCTGGCTCACCAAAGTTTTTGATTTAGACAAACAGCAGGCTGGAAAGACACAGCAGGCCAGGCAGCATCTGGAGGAGGAGACGTCAACGTGTAAGGTGTTTACCCTTCTTCAGGACTGGATGTGGGGGTAGGGGGAGCTGCAGAGAAAGGGGGGGTGGTGGTGAGGGTAGCAGAATGTTGGTGATAGGTGGACACCGGTACTAGGTACGACCTGGTTGGTCGATGGGAGAGATGAGTCCAGTTGGTAGCTGGAATGGAAAGGAAGAGGTGGTACGTGGACCGGAAGGGTGGTAGGTGGGGCTGGAAAGCGAGCCGGGCGATCGGTGGGAAGGTCATTTGAAATTAGCGAACGCAATGTTAGGCCCTCCGGGCTACAGGTGCCCAGGTGGAAGGTGTTGTTCCTCACATTTGCATTCTGAATCGCTGTGACACTGGACGAGTCTGAGGATGGACATGTCGGAGGGGGAGTAGGATTAGTTGAAAAAGGTGGTGACCAGGAGCTGTGTTTTTGATTTTATTTGATTTATTATTGTCACATGTACCAAGATACAGTGAAAAGTATTGTTTTGCATGCTATCCAGGCAAATCATACATTACATAAGTACATTGACTTGATAGAGGTATACATGACTTGATAGAGGTGTACAAAACGATCAGAGGTATAGATAGAGTGGACAGCCAGAGACTTTTTCCTAGGGTGGAGGTAGCTATTACGAGGGGGCATAGTTTTAAAGTGAGTGGAGGTAGATATAGGGGAGACGTCAGAGGTAGGTTCCTCACTCAGAGAGTGGTAGGGGCATGGAATGCATTGCCGGGGAGGTTAGTGGAGTCGGCCTCATTAGGGGCATTTAAGCGGCTATTAGATAGGCATATGGATGGTAGTATAAGGTAGGGGTGGAGGTTAGATAGACCTTAGGTTTAGGGTAAAAGTTTGGCACAACATCGTGAGCCGAACGGCCTGTACTGTGCTGTTCTATGTTCTATGTTCTATTACTGCAGAAGGCAGAATATAGTATTACTGCTGCAGAGAAGGTACAGAGAAAGATCAACTCTAATATATGAGAGGTCTGTTTGTAAGTCTGATAACAGCAGGGAAGAAGCTGTTCTTAAAACTGTTGGTACATGTTTCCAAACTTTTTTATTTTCTGCCGATGGAAGAGGGGAGTATAACTGGGGTGGGAGGGGTCTTTAATCGCGTTGGCTGATTTCATTAGGCAGTGTGAAGTGTAGACAGAATTAAATGGAAGGAAGAGATAGTAGGAACTGCAGATGCTGGTGAATCCAAGACAACAAGGTGCAGGGCTGGATGAACACAGCAGGGCAAGCAGCATCATAGGAGCAGAGAGGCTGACGTTTCGGGCCTAGATCCTTCATCA